CGCTCCGGTTCGAAGATGTGACTACGGGACAGAGGTTCAGGGCCGAAGGGGTAGAGGAAGACCTAGGAAAACTTTAGAAGAGACTCTAAGAAAAGACTTAGAGTACTTGGATCGAACGGAGGACATGACACAAAACCGAGCGCAATGGCGTTCTAGGATTCATATAGCCGACCCCACTTAGTGGGAAAAGGCTTTGTTGTTGTTGTTGTTGTTGTTGTTGCAGGATAACCTGACCTGCATCATCCGGAGTACCCGATACTCTCATCATTTATCAAAATAAACAAAAAACTCATATCCTCACTTAGCATATGAAAAGCAACCTCCAGCAGAATATGAGAACCAGTTCCATGAAAGCACGCATTAAGTCCCAAACTTTTAACAGGTTATCAAACAGATTCATAGCAGATACTTGGAAATCTTATGGGGTTCAGGAAAAAAACTATAGTTATGTGCTATAGATCACGCAATTTTGAGCCAAACACCATGATTTCGACAGGGTTAGACAGTATTTAGGTACACTTGTCATTGGGTTTGGCAGATTTTTCCCAATCTTGTCTAACTTTCACAATCAGTTCAAGAAAAAGGCAAACATAAAAGAGTCTAGTCATCTAATCTAAGTGTGCTGAAGTGATGTTAGAAGCTAACTTCCTAGCCGTGTACCAGATTAGATTAGCAACAAGTTACGCTAAGCTCGGGTTAAAACAAGCTTACAATTTGAAGAACGGATAGTCAAATGAAGCTGCCAAAATATGCCAAAGGAATATGGAAAAAGAGAGAAAAAATTACCTGGGATGCTTTGCTTTTAGCCCTGGTCTCTGCTGTGCTTGGAATATCATGATTCGGTTTATTGAATCTCTTCTCACGCCGGTCGCATGCGCCCCATCCATCTGAGAACCTACCACCCCTAGTGACAAGGGAAGGAGGCAAAATAGCAAAAAACAGCAATCATATTCATAATGAACTGTGACATGATACAGGAATCACATTACTATCTTAATGCAAAAGCTCCCAAGATCCAAAATTCATACTGCATGTGTGCCCGAACCACAAATTCAGCGCGAAGAACATTTCGATCTTTATCAAACTCAATGGTCTTGTCTTTGATCTCAAAAGAGAGATTGAAGTAAAACGATATCTTCCTCCAACCTAACACAACACAAACACATACATGAAACACATCTCATTCTGCGCCTACAATTTCCCCTTGAATTGAAACAATTAACATCTCTATAAACCTGTTTACCTGACTTTTTAATGAAAGGATGCCCAGAAATCATAGTGTAATCTGTTTTCTCCAGAATCTATCAGTTGAAACAACACAAAAACAACAACTAATTAGGCCGGCAGCGTCGAAACTATCTAGGGAATTCAGATTTACCCAATTTCATAACTTAATCTTACATAATAAAGTAGCAAAATTAAAGAAATTACGATACAGTAAAGCCCAAATGCACTGAAAAGCTCAATCAGAGTTTAATCTGTTCAATCTATCTATCGAAAACACACAAACGAAGCATAATTTTGGTCAAAACTGTCCACTGAATTCAAATTTGACGGCTTAATCGTTTAATTAAGTAGGAAAAGTTAAGAAATTAGACATGCAGTAAAACCCAATTGAACTGAAAACTTCAATCATCTAAGCAAAATTACCGCCATAGCTGCATTCTGATACTCCTTGAACAAAGAGACCGAAGGGAACCTCCCGGACATGCTATGAGCAGCTACATCCCTCTCCTCTCTCCGCGCATGGCTCACAGGGCTCGCAAAATTCCCGATCCCCGGCGACAAGTGCGTTTCCGGCAACGAATAAAACGGCGTCGTAGGAGTGGTAGGCGTCGTGCGCTGCACATTTCGAACTACGACAAGAGGACTAGTGTCGTTCATTTCGGAAGAAGAGGACCTCGCGATCTTGCTCGGGGGATGAAACGCCCAGGGTTCCTCGATGACCACGCCTTCTGATGCGGATGACTTGGAGTCGGAGTCGGCCGAGGAGTCAAGCCTTGCGGCGCTCTTGAAGAGCTTCGGCGGTGGAGAAGGTTTTGAGACTGGAGAGGAGCGAGGGTAGTTTGGGTATTGGATTGCGAGGGGCTTGCGGGGTTGGGGTTTGGATTTGGAGGAGGAGTGGGAGGCGGCGGCGGAGTCGATGACGGCCCACAGAGCGGCGTCGTCTAGGTCATTGTCGTCCACGACGGGGTAGAGGCTCGGGGAGGCCATGGGCGGTGGATTTTGCAGAGTTGCGTGAGCTGGACGACTGAGATCCGGCGCTCCGCGTCCGAATAACCAAAAAAATACGGGCGCGGGAATTCAAATTGGGAAACGATGGGCCAGAGTTACCACCGTAAGATTAGGCCTAGGATCCAAGTTGGTTGGGCCCAAGCTGAAATTTTCATTAAAACAAAGAAAAATCAAAGGCTCTCCTACTAATTTTTTTAATAAATACAAACCATATTCAACAAATTATTTATTTGAAATACGAGGAGGAAGACTTGAACTTGGGTGAAAAGGAGGAAGGACACTGCTTTGGAGGATATTATTCACAGTTATTAAACTAGGGTGACGATTTTTAAACTTTCATTTTCTCCAAGTAAATGAAGTTGGTTGGCTACACTTAAACTTAATTGGACTTATTAATAATTTAGTACAAAATCATGACAAAGCACGAAATTTTAATTTGAAATAACAATTAATTCCAAAAAAAAACATAAATTTATTTCAAGAGGAACAGCATTTGATACCATAGGCTTGTCAATCGACAAAAAATCCTCTTTAAAAAGGGGTTTTTGCAAGCCACGTGCTCATATTTGACGAAATTATAGATGGAAATTCCCATAGATGCCATATTGCCATATTGGTTAAGTTTGGGTGGATAATTGTATTTCAAATTAAAATAGTCGCCCAATTTAGGTGGGGTATATAACATGGAAGAAGAAGAATACATTGGATTCCGTGGAGGAAATTATGTAAACCGAACGATGAGGGTGGCCTGGGTTTTAAAGCGTTATGGCGAGCTCGTGTGCTGAGGAAGGTTAAAATATGCGTGTGGCTATGTTGTATGGATGCTTTAACAACAAAGGACAATCTACACAAAAGGAAAACGCATACGGAGACAACCTATTTGTTATGTGATGAGAATGCTGAAACGATTGAACACCTGATGAGGGATTGCCCACGAGCGTGGCCGGCTGTTTGGTTTTCCAGCCAGTTGGGAATACAAAGTAAGAGGATCGACGAGAGAGCATGCTAGAGTGGGTGGCTGCACTTGCCGGTTCTTTGTCCGGGGAGAGTTTCGACCTTACATTGTTGTTTATTATGGAGTATTTGGACGGAACACAACTCACTACTTTGGCAAGGTAAGGCACTGAATCCTCTGGAAATAAATCGTAAAATGCAAACTTGGTTGCAGGAATACCACAAATGGCACGGACTGAGAAAAACCACCAAGCCTGTCGTGGTGCAGCCATGGACACCACCTAAGAGTGGATGGGTAAAGTGCAATTTCAATGTGCCATGGGATGATCGAATGGAAACTGGAGGAGTTGATGGAGTTCGATCACCGTTGCTGGTAGAAACTTTTGCAGCAAGGGATGCGACTTCGTTTGCACAACGGATGAAGCACACAAAGGTGGAGTTTGAAGGTGATGCTTTGATGGTTATCAAGGCGTTACAATACGAAGGTCTGGAGAATTCATCTCCATTTGGGCATATTATATCATTGATACTCGCAGGACAACGAACAAGGTGGCACACAGGTTGGCTAGTTAGGTTTAACGCTGGCTACTCATGTTGTTTGGTTTGAAGAGCCCCGATGTATTTTTGGATCTTCGATCGGATTAAAATTTCTTGCAAGGTTTTTATCGAGACTCACTGTATGCACCATATCCTCATTGTTGTACATATCTAACTTCTCCATTGTCGTACCTTTGCTTAAATCACGCTATGCACAAGCTAATTTCGCTTCATTTTTCTTCAAAAAAAATGGTATCTCCATTTTGTTATTTATACATGTACTACGCGTGTCATCGACTCCCCTGCATCTCTAACAAACTACTTGAAATTAAAATCAATAAAGTCCAGTGTTTTGAAATCCCCACCCTTTGAAACGCTGCGTTCTGATTTGCTTGAAATGCCGAAACGGGGGTGCAAGCTTCTCCATCGCCATCATTCCCAAATTCCTCAATCAGATTTGAATCGTCCTTGACATTAACAGCTTCCTTGTCTGAATCCACCAGCATTTTTAATTCGTCGATCGGCCACTCAAAATCCCTGACCTCCTTCTTATGCGACATTGGCACCACCTCCGGAACCTTCTTCGTGAAGCTGAGTTGGTAGGAAACCTGAGAGAGCTGAGCTGAATCCAAGAAATCTTCGAGCTTCGCCACTTTTCTCAACTTGAACTACATAGAATTGCGAACTCTGCTGCAGCTCTGATTCTGAACGTCTTCCCTACAAACAAATCTAAAGTTAGAGATTGAAATTGGTGAAATTGGGGAAAATTTTCAAAATTGTATATGTGAGAGATATGTATAAGGAGTACGGGGATGAGATGGAGGAGATTGGCAGCGGAGAGATGGAAGAGGAGGGCTGTCGAACAAGGTGTTCCTAAATGTCTTAGGAAAGTGGCGAGAGGGCTCGGGGATGAAGTTTTGCCTCTCTTGCTTTCTGCCATATTTTAGCGCACAATGTTTGAGTTCAAAGCAAGTCCAAGCACATGAATTTTTGGCCCCTTTTTCAGTTTAATATAACGTGCTTAGGGTTCACAAATCAAGCTTGTTTAACTAGAATTTGAAATCATTGTAATAGTTGCCCTAATCCTCACTTCTTTGTAAAGAGGAATCCACATTCCTTGTGCAAACGTCATAATCAAAATCGTTAAGTTGCACTTTTTTCGCGTTGTGGTATGGTGGAATCCACATTTCTTGTACAAATTTTATAAACAAAATTATTCATTTCACTCATTTGTAAGGAGGAAAATCAACGTTCCTCATTTAAACATCATAATCAAAATCAATCATTCGCTTTATAATCATCTATAGTCACCAAACATGTAGAAAAAGAAAAATAATAGACTTACAAATTACAAAGCACCCATTATGTATAAAGGGATGATGGGCTCTCTTACAAAAAAATTATGACGAAGAGCAACAAGATTTGACATTTACAACAAAAATACCAATGTTCAGTTTGGTCACCATGGCTCTTCTGACTCTTTGTACTTGTAGTGTACAATGTATGTATGTATGTATATATCCATGACAAGTGAGAAGTTTGTTCATAAACAAAATTTGATATGAGCGTTTCTTGGGAATGGGGAATCGAACTCGAGACCTTGTGGACCAAATTTGTTTCCATTTAAAGGAAAGAAATTATGATCCTATATCTTCACCAGCACATAACCAATTAATTAGGGCCTCCGAAAATATTATTCTGTACTTTTCGCGGCAGCCCAAAATTTTGGTATGCTCTGATTTCTCCGTCTAAAGTGGTTGTCACAATTACCAAACCCCAAGCTGTTGCTTGCATTGTTTGGCTAGCATTGTTGTTGCCTATATTGTCAAGCCATGACCAAGAGGAAGACCAAGATGATGTGGAGGCACTACCGGCGGACATAGAACTTGAATCACCATACCTAATAGAGGAAGGGTCCGAATTGAACGACTCTCCAATCCCAGATTCTGTTCGGCATATTTGAGCTGGATCTTGATCTTCCTGCGGCGGAGTTAAAGGTATTTGATCCGATGCATTTCCCTTGTTGTTGTTGTCTTTGTTGTTTTTCTTCGGAATAGGTGGTAGCACTCTCTTGCTTACACCTGCATCTTCTTGAGTAAGGGATGAATTGCCAGATTGTGGTTGTTGCGTTGAGCATTTTGATTGTCTCTTGGAATGTTGCACAATGACAGATGGAGGGTCACCCTTTATGGTGCCTGGCCATGGGATTGCTACTGAAACATCTTTACACTGAAAATGTTCGTGGGAATTGGTGCTAGTGATGCTTTTTTTCCCTGTGGCTGAAATTCGGGGCTCATCCCGCCTCCAAATGTATACATGAGAGTCTTCACTAGCACATATGACGTACTTCCCGTTTGGAGTGAATGAAGCTCCAATTTGGCTACTCATATTTCGAAAACCTGTTCGTTATCAAATTTATATTTCCAATGTTATTTACTGAGCATAAATTTTATAGAGAATTAATTAAGGAAGTGAAAAGGTTCTGAGGATTTGAGGAGATGCATACCTCTAAACTTGTGAGTCACGTTTGTGCCATCCAAAATCCGAATCTGAGAATCAGCAGACGTGACAAGCATTTCAGTTGGGTTTATCGGTGAAAACTGTTTACATTGAAAATAAGAGAGGACGTAAGAAGCACTTCAGATGGATTTTATGTACGCAAGCAAACTGTACAACTAGAAAGTAGAGAAATTTCTACATTACCTGGAAACCTGTAATCTTTTTGGCTTGATTCTTCTTCTTGTTTTGAATATCAATCTGACTATGCTGACTTAATTTACAATCTAGATTTCAAAACAAGATGAGCTTTATCAATTATCATAGACTGTCTAAATTCGCATTGCCTACGAAAAAGAAACTAGAAGAGCAACTCACACCTTCTGCATTGTACATACGACATTTTCCTTTGTGTGAACCAATGATGCAAGCCTAGAGTTTTGAAACAGATTTGAAGCAAGATTAATCCAAATAGTGATGAAATTTTCTAAGCTGAATCAATTCAACTACTCAACTACTTAATTTACATGAAACATGCAAAAAGAAGAACATCTAAAAAGAATAGAAATAGTACATAATGGAGTTGTACCTGGCCATCTGGAGTATAGGAAGCAGCAGTGACCATTTCATAAAGATCAATCCAATCCACGACTTGCCTAACAGCTACGTTCCACAATCGAATCTTTGCATCGAGTGAGCCACTAATAAAGTAATTGTGATCCAAAGGATTGAATTGTATGCAAGTCACTGCAAGACCAATAACCCGAGTCAAAACTCAAGAAACTATACAAGGAACAACATGATACAATGCTTCTATGTGTGTGTATTGGTAGTGATTTTCATACTCCAATTTTTCTCCATCTTCATTCCCCTTTCTTTGACATCCCTTTATCCTCCTTTAACTTTATTCAACAAAGGCTATAAAAAAATGGAGAAGAACGAGGAACATAATGGGAGAGCGAAAATCACTACTTGTGTGTATTTTGTATGCTACATCATCGTTTTAGACAACAAATACACACAAGAGGTAGGCATTGTTTTATATAATATATGAATATCTTACCATAATCATTGTGGGCAAACAACTTTAAACAAGTCTTGGTCTCCAAATCCCATAACCTAACAGTTTTGTCCATTGAAGATGAAAGCAATAGCTGCAAATTGATTAAATTATATCAGCCTAAATTAGCCTAACCTCAAATTAATCAATTGAAGAAAAGAACAATTAGAAAAGAGCGAACCTGATCTCTGGACCATGACAGGTCCAGAACAGCATCCAAATGACCTTCAAAAGAGCAAAATGGTTTCTCCGAAAATGAAAACACTGTTTCGGGCACATGCACATATTCTGGGATTGGATTGCTTTTTCTAGCAGACCCACTTTTTTCCTTATTCTTATTCTCCTTCTCATATGGCACAACCACAGCTTGATCAGACATTGATGGAGAACGATCAGGGGTGAAGGAACGATCAGGGGTGGAAGACCTGAAAGAGTGATGAAGCGGGGTCGAATTCCCATCCAATGACATAATCTCACACTCTTGCACTTCCCACACTTGAATAATTCGATCCTCTCCCGCACTCGCAAGAAACCTTGCATCCAAGCTAAACTTAATAGCCCAAATTGACCCCTCGTGAGCTTGAATCTCTTGACACAAATGCAATGCCGATAACTCCTTGTAATGCTTCCCTGTCTGCCTAACTTTGACCCATTCCGATGAAGCTGACGAAGAAGAACTCGAGTTCTTGACGGGTTTCTGCTCCGGCGGCAATGTTAGCGATGGCGTCGTGTTTTCCCTCTCTTTCTCACCAATCAACACACTCACAGCGGTCCCCACGCCTCGTATACTGTTCTTCAACAGAGCAACCCCTCTTCTCTTGCTCATCCTCAGGCTCTTCGAAACAAATGAATTTGCCCCTGCACCGACCTTCCTGTTATCGCCGCTGCCTTCGCTGGAAACGCTCTGTCTTCGCATAACCTCTTTCACCACTGGCGAGTACCCGACACATTTCTCGAACTCGTCCATCGTCAATTGCTTCCCTGTTTGGAGATCGCTGAGTCGATTCCAGCACCCATCCTGATCATACTCGTTCACGATGAACTTAGTCCCTGTGTCCAGATTCTTAATCAAGAAGAAGGCTCCTAACTGGTTATTCAAGAAAACCGACGACAATCCACCGCTAGTCCGAACCAATCGACTATTGGGGGTAGAGTCGCTGACTTCGTTAGTTGACACTTTAATCGATTCGGTGTACGGACATATTCTCGAGCGAGTTACGGCTATGGCGGAGCAAGTCCTCGTAAGTCGTTGCTTCGAGATTGTTTCGATTATCTCTTCCTTCCTTTGTTTATTTATCGAGAAAGCTTCAATGTCACCCTCCGACCTCGAACGGACGAGCATCACCGACAATGGTTCATGATCAGGCTCAGGCTCCGACTCTGGCTCTATCTCCGATACCGGCTGATTCGACGATACTTGTACTTTTTCTTTAGCCCGAGTGATTGACCGAGGGATTGGAACAATGCCGTTTGTGATTTTGTTCGAAACGAGACGTTTAATGTTGGTTAGTTGTTTAAAGCTAACGAGGTCTTTTCCAGGTCCTTGGGCTAACCCCATGCCCTGCAATAATCGTTTTCGCCGTTCAGTGATAGACCTCGGTGCCTCCATCCAAATGTTGTAATTCGGCGTCATTGGAGCCGAAGAAGTAGACGGTGGGTCCATCGGAGCGGCTGCGGTGGAGGCACGAAAATCAACATCGTTTCGAACATATGAGACACATGAGGCAAATGAATTGCGACTGTCGTCGAAATCCTCATCTTCGGATGAGGATTCCTCGAGGTCGAGAGGAACGACGGAAGAGGCGCGTTCCTTTGACTCGAAAAAGCGATCATCGTCATCGTCGTCCCGGAGGCTGTCCCAGTTCATCGTCAACGTCTTTTTCCGCTCCATCTTCATGGTGCATTAGGCAAATATTGCGCAATTGAATAGGAAAAAAAAAGTAATTTTGTTGCGATTGATGATGAAATTACAAAGAGAAATTGAGTATTTTTTTGGAGTGTTTAGAAACTGTTTGTGTTTCTGCGCGAGAAAGATTGAGAAAGTGGAAGAGAGGAAAAAAAGGGAGTTTGGTGGTTAATTACCGTTATTGAGGAAAATAGAAACAGTCAAGGGAGGGAAGAAAGAAGACGCTATAATTAATTAATTGAATAATTAAATTAATTAGTGGATTCCTTATTACTTTTTATGATAATTAGGATTTATCATAACGATTTTTCCATTTATGTCGTGCGGCCTCTACGGCCTCGGGCCTGCCACTCACTTCGTTGGTGGACTGGACTGCTGTTTAAAGAAGTTTGGAACTATGAGATGTAAAGCCCAATGTCTCCCATGTTTGATGTGATCCATTATTAGGACTAACAATAGAAGTTGTATCCATCAAACGGAAAGGTGAAAGCAGGATTGTGAAAATTAATATCCAAAATCAAGAATATTGGTGCACTCAACTTTTTTTAGAGTGTTACCACTTAGTACATTGTTTAGTGGTATTCATCTTTACTTGTAAGTGAAAGTTCGTAGGTTTGATTCTCGTCCAAGACAAATTTGAACCACATTATTGCTAGCCTATTGAAAACAACAAAAATCTCGTGGATCAAATAAGAATGTTCTTACTCTTTTTTTTTTTTTTGAGTGAAACGATAGCGTTAGTAAGTTAAATGTTAGATTAGCCATTAACGAGGTTTGAACTCACGCCATCATGTAAGGGCGCAACACATTTTCTATCATTATAGTAAATGGTCACTTTCAAAATATCCTTATTTTGATATTAGGGTAAATCGCTAAAATGGTCCCTGAGATTTGCATAACTCATCACTTTGGTCCCTAAGATTCCAAAACGATAAAAGTGGTCCCTGAGATTTACCACCATCCATCATTTTGGTCATTCCGTTAAAAAATCTGTTAAGTGTCCCGGAGGAAGTTTGGGCATTTTTCAAAGCTTCGTAACTCAATCGTTTCTAAACCAAATTAGACCCATAATATATCAAAATGAAGATAGGAAAGTGTAGAATAAGATTATACCTATTTCAAAGCCCAATGATTGCCGAAGACGGCCGGAAAATAGTCTCAAAGTTGACTGGTCCGAGTGAAAGAAAACTCGTCGGAAATTGGGTAAACTCTAAACGTTCATAACTTCTTCAATACTCAACGAATTCAAGTGATTCAAAAACGAAAATCATACTTCTCAACAAGACAAAGAGAATGGTAACTTTTTGAAGACTAAATCGCCGTGGTTTGTCCGGAAAATGGCTCGAAAGTAACTGCCTTAGTCTACTTTCGAGCCATTTTCCGGCCAAACCACAGTGCTTTAGCTGTCAAAAAATGTACCATTCTCTTCGTCTCGTTGAGAAGTATGATTTTAGTTTTTGAATCACTTGATTTCGTTGAGTTATGAAGAAGTTATGAATGTTTAAAGTTTACCCAGTTTCCGGCGAGTTTTCAACTTTTCACTCTGACCAGTCAACTTTGAGTCTATTTTCCGACCATCTTCGGCAATCATTGGGCTTTGAAATAGGTATAATCTTATTCTACACTTTTCTATCTTCATTTTTATATGTTATGGATCTAATTTGGTTAAGAAACGATTGAGTTACGAAATTTTGAAAATTGCCCAAACTCACTATGGGACACTTAACTGAGTTTTTAACGGAATGACCAAAATCATGGATGATGGAAAATCTCATGGACCACTTTTATTATTTTGGAATCTCAGGGACCAAAGTGATGAGTTATACAAATCTCAATGACCATTTTGACGATTTACCCTGATCTTATAATATAAAACCCTTTGTGTGCTTGGATTAATTCATCTGTAAAACAAGCAAACAGATGGCCTTTCATGAAGAAACAATAGTACTGGATCCCACGTCTAAATATTCATATTTTATTCATTAAATATTAATCTCGTACTTCGAAGGTTATAAAACTAATCTATCATGGGACATGGGACTTGGAGCATGTTTGCCTTTCTTGGAAACCTAATTCAGATTTTCTTTTATAACATATTGTATACATACATACATATATACAGGCCCTTTATGCAAAGGGATCCCCATTTTTTTCAAAAAATGGGGATTAGGTGTGGAGCTCATTTCACATTGAACTTCAATGATCCGAACCGTCTATTTTGTAAGTCTCGATTTATAGATCATTCTTGCAAAAATTCAATTTAATCCGAAACCATTTGCCTATTTAATTATCAAGATAAAATTTCATTGTTTCTTATATAACAAAGTATTCGTTCATTTCTTTGAACCCAATTAGATGTCTTAAACATTTCCGATTTGGTTAATATTTTGTAAGGATGATCTATGAGATGCAACTTGAAAAATAGACGGTTCGGATCGTTAAAATTCGATATAATGTGGACCCCACAATTAATCCCTATTTTTATAAAAAAATGGGGATCCCTTTCCTTAAAGATTTCCTACATATATATATATATATATATATATATATATGAAATCTTTAGGAGAAAGGATCTTCATTTTTTTTAGGAAATTTTAACGAAAAACTCCTAGTACTGTTTATTTTAATGAAAAACTACATTTTTATACTAAAATGATACTATTCACTTTACCCTTTATTTTGTCCTTATCGTTAAAACTCAAAGTTTTCAAACCCTTTTCATTATTATTATTTTTTATAAAAATGGGGATTAGTTGTAGGGTCCACACTACATTGAACTTTAACAATCTAAACTGTCTATTTTTCAAGTTGTACCTCATAAATCTGCCTTGTAAAATATTAGCCAAATCGGAAATGTTTAAGACATCTAATTGGGTTCAAAGAAATTAACGAATACTTTGTCATATAAGAAATAATGAAATTTTGTCTTAATAATTAAATAGGCAAATGATTTCGGATTGAATTGAATTTTTGCGAGGATGGTCTATGAATCGAGACTTACAAAATAGACGGTTCAAATCGTTGAAGTTCGATGTAGAGTGAGCCCACACCTAATCCGCATTTTTTGAAAAAAAATGAGGATCCCTTTGCATAAAGGCCATATATATATTAGTTATAACCAAACTGTCTATTAATAGAACCTTGTTTGTCAACTAAAGTTCCATGAAATTGTCATTCTAACCCAGTAACCAAAATTGAACAAAAAATTTAGTAATTACATGCAACATAAATTTTTCTTTTTTTTACACCAACCTCATAGCTAGAAGTGGCAAATTAACACATTGAGTTGTTAATAAGTACATATTAAAACTTATTTAGTTTGATTTCATCTTATAATATCATGACTAATCTCACATCCATATTACGGTAATCACATATTTAATTACACACTTACAACAATTGAGCACTAGTACAGATTTCAGAGAACATTATGAACAGTCTCCTCTCCCCCTTCTCTAAAGGAAGGCCTACTAATAAATAACGATTAAAAATGTCAAAGCAAAGCTTTACCACGTATGGTCAAATGATAAGTTCAAACCAATAAAAATATTAGAATTCTATTATTCATTATACCTTTAAAAATGGTTTTTCATTCAAATGAAAGTTTTTTTGGATTTTTCGTTAGTTTTCTTTTGATTTTATTCCAGATTTTGAACATATGAATACTCTCATAATTTTACATGAACAGTATTTTACACTAATTTACACTAAAAAAGTGGTTTGAATCTGAATTTTGGTTGTTTGAAAAAACACGCTAATATTCACGGCAATCCACCCCACCCCTGCCGCTTTCACGAAATTAATTAAGTAAAAAAAGATAATTCTCACAATAAACTCATAGCCTGTGAGTTAATACTTGTAACTGACTAAGTTACGAATTAGAAACAAGGTGTAATGTAACACTTATTTAAATTAATTAATTTTATTTATTTTGGACTTTATTTCGAATAATAAATACCATACTTATGTTTTGTCTTAAAATAGTCCCTAAAAGAAAAAACAAACGTTTGAAAAAATGAAATAAAACTCGAAATTAATATATATATCAATTGAAACACAATGTGGCAATATTATATTGCAATTGCTCCTGAAAAAGAAAAAAAAATCATAATATATATATTTCATCAGTTTCATGATCTTTTATCTTTAGCAGGAGAAGAGAATAACACCTCGAGCACAAAAGAAACATAAAATCTTTCAATGCATCTCTCTCTCTTTTCTTCTTTCTTCTTTCTTCTTTTTCCATCTTTACAACGTCTTCTTCCCTTTAACCAAGATCTAACAAAAATTGAAAAAAAAAAAAAAAACGAAAAAAGATGGAGCTGAGAGATCAGAATTTTATTTAATTATGAATTATGGGTTACCATGAATAATATGGATGAACAAAACTCGAACTGCAGTTTAACTAATCACTCTGATCGTCTGCCTTTCTTGATTTTGGCGCGCCCATCCGGGGCGAGGGAAAAGTTGACCAAAATATCATATCCAGTTGTGCTGTTGTAAACTGAACCTTTCTGCGAGCAGCCGGCGGCGGAGGCGACGGCGACCGCGACGACACTTTTCTCTTTAGAAAGCGTTTGGGTTTGCCCGGTGCAGGCGGGCATTCTGTCATCGGAGGGATTTTGTGCTCCAGCGACGTCGGCGTTTTGAACCCATCGTCGTCGTCGTCCACGACGTCCTTGTCGTTCGTCGATGATTCATCTTCCACCGGGAACGGCGGCGTCTTGCGGTCTTGTTTTGCCGGGGTGTTAATGTGATCTGGTGTAATGTTCTGGGACGGCTCTGGTTCTTCTTTCTTGGGCTGTTCTTGTCGTAGACGATCATGAGGCGCATCATCGTGATCCGACGGCTTGGATTGAAACTCCGACATGGGTGTCTCGCTCCGGTCTTGTTTGTGTGAATTTGAGACGTTGAGGACGGAGATCCGGTCGACTAGGTTCGACTCCATGAACGACGAATGCAAGAAGAAGACGGAAAGAAGATATCGGAATTAATGGCGGGTGCAAGAAGAAAAGGAATGCAAGAAGAGGCCTGAAATTTAGAATATACAGGATGTATTGATAGATATATAATCTGATCGAGTGATCGAATTCACAATGTTTTGGTATTTTCCCTATTCCTAATTGGATTGGGTTTTAGGGATTTCTGTGAGAGCTTGCTTATTTTTCTATGTGAACTTTTAGAGGTAGAGAAAAGAAGGGAAACGGTTTTAACTATATAACCCTACAAAAACAGAAAGATTGAGTTTCCGCGAGTCTTTTTGGAGGATTGAGTAATTTTTCAGTGTGAACAGAACAAGGGGAGAGGAAGAGAGTTTGTGTCCATTGGATCCTACACCGAAAGCGAGAGGGATTGAAATTGTAACTCTTACACTAATAAATTGATGAGTTTTTATCACTAAATGGTCATTGAAATAAAAAATCAATCCATGAAGTCCTTGAAAATACAATTTTGTTAAAAATTTTGTTATATGCTGATGTTGAACATATGTGGGTCCCATAAGATTTATGGGTTTTTAACGCATACGATCCCTGAAATTGACTGATACCATCAAGATGGTCCTTAAAATTAAAAATCGATCAATGTTGCAAATCAGTATGGCTATTCTATCAAAAATTTTGGTATGTGCCGATGTGAATTTAATAATTTAATAATGAATTGAAAAAGTTGTAAAAATACCTTTTTGCACAATGGGATATCTCATGGCAGAGCTCGCCGTTCTTCGCGTTACCAAGATCACAGGGGAGTGCCCAACAAGCTCTCCAAGATCAAGGTTGTGAGGATGTTGATTGCCCAAATGTTAACAAAGATGTCACATAAGTCGCCTGCAATCCAAGCCATCACCAAAGGTGGTCTTGCTACTGGTCTAATTCTGTGAACAGTGTCGAAGAGTGTAACGATGGGTGTCTTGAGAATTTTTTTGCTTTCATAGAAGGGACGACGAAGGCTACCATAGATTGAGGTAGAGGAGTGTGGGTTGGATCGAAGGTGATTGTGGGACTGGTTTATGAGTTGACAATTTTTAATTATTATTAAATTATTAAACCTATTTCTAATTTATTTTTAATTTAATTAGACTTGTGAGATGCATTTATGTGCTACATTTGCGCATAACCGAATTTTTGACAGAATTGTGATTGATGAATCACATTGATTTAACACACCTATTTTTAGAAACTACATTAATCGATTTTCAATTTTAAATACCATTTCGATAGTATGAGCTAATTTCAAGAATTATATGGGATAAAAACCTCGATTGAAACTCTCTTGAATTTGGTTATGGATGGGAGGATGGAATAATATGAGAATTTAGTACTAGGAAGAAAGGATACAACATAATATGTTTGTTTGAGCACGTGGCTTGTCATGGGACCATATATATCTATGACATGCTAATTATATCTATAATCTAATTTATCTTCTCGTGGTATTAAGAAGGTGCCTTGTTTAACTTGCAAGCAAGCGTGGGCCCAAGTAAATTTTATTTTCTTTTTGGGTTTCTAAAGTTTGTTTTGATTTGAATTTCATTATTCTAAATAATTTGTACCAAATAGTATCAAAGTCAGCTATATGCTCAAGTCCTAATTTAGACATTCACCGATTACTATACATGTAAGGTGAATATCCATAACTGTCTATGTTGTCTAGTAATGTATTTTTACGATTAGTAGTATTTAATGCTAGGTTTCATTCACGAGTTAATTCTGTAACAAATTATATTTTGCTCATCTAAAATGTGCAAAAATTTTAAAATTCATTAGATAAATTTGATATGAAAATGCGGACAATCAAATTAATTAGTAACTTATTGCGATTCAGTTAGTTTTTAGCATGATAATTCCTGAAAAAGAATTTAATTAAAAAATATAATAATTCTGATGGTTGAATAACACCCTGGAATTTACCACAATACGGGGGTGGTTGGAACCACCGACTCACAAAGTGGGTAACAATAAATAAATTTAACATCTAACTCTACAAACCTGTCGTAACTAACACGGTTGCAGCAGTATCTCCCATCTTCACGATGTGGGTCTTGCATCTGTGATTTTTTTTCCCAATTGTACATGCATCACCTCAACCATATAAAAATAAAGAAAAATTAATGAAAAATAGCTTGAAAACTTTGAGTTTTAACGATAAAGACAAAATAAATGATAAAGTAAATAGTACCATGATTGACTTTTTAGTGTAAAAATATGGTTTTTTGTTAAAGTGAACAGTACCGAAAGTTTTTCATTAAAATTCCTTATAAATAAACTAAAAAGTTGTTGTCACGATAAGTTTTTTCGACGCAGCTGTTACAACCGCTACGTGGTGTTGTCTGTATATATTATTCTATGTGTTTCAAACTTATTTGAGATTTTGCTCTTTTTAAGAAGTGTGTTTTATTACAAGAGCTTTTATTCGAAACACGTCGATGTTTTCATTTATATAATTCAAGTGCTTATTATTTTATATATAGCAAGGTTATAATTTCATTTATTAACACCACATCAAAACTTCACTAGGGAGTTTTACAGCACAAATTAAAACAACTACCCAGTACAATCAACCAACGAGCGACTTACTTAAACAAACGCTTGAATATGCTTACTAAATAAGTACTACAATATACTTTTTCAGATAGTGCTTCTAAGATTTAGAAATATTTTTACAACTCATAAGCAATTTTAGATTTTTTTTTTTCAAACATGGTCAGAAACATCTTTCGTAATCCAAAAATACTTCTAGTCATTCCAAAAACAATTAGAAACATGTCTTTAGGATAATCCCTTGACGTCTACTTGCTCTACCTAAATTTGTATAAATTAAAATCGTCTACCACTCAAATTACAACATGTGAATTAATAGCACGTGCGACGGTGGAATAGTCAGACCATAATACATATTGGTTGTTAGTTTCTACCATCCATACCCATAAAGGGTAATTAGAATAGTAGAGGAAAATAAATAGGGAGAGTGGGTCACCTCTCTGGATTAACCTAACCCAATAAAAATCTCAACCAAATCATTAACTAAATGAGCGAAATTTCCTTAAATAGAAGGCCAAAAAAAAAAAAAAAGATGGTGATGGTGATGCTTTTGTAGCTTAGGATTCCTTCCCAAAACTCATGAAAAATAGAGGAAGAGGTTAGGATTTGGTAACCTTCCAATCCAAATCCAATGCGATATGATAAATTAGTTCAGAAATAACCAAACGAGATCGCGGTTTTGAGGGAAAAGCGGGGACCTCGTCCGTTGGGAGTGCATGGTTTTCATCATCAAAATTAGGTTTGTGGCTTTTGGGATTGCAAGATTTCAACTCCACCTTCCTTCCACGTAACTAACGTGAAGATAACGGTCCAATCCTTACTCATTAGGGTTCTTTTTCTTGTTTCTACCCACCCTATTTTCTCCCTCTTAATCTGGATTAGAAAGCGTGCACACTCTTTGACATTCACATTATGTTGATTTGCTAACCACCTATTAAGGGTGGGGTCTGTTATACTGATTTAAGAACTTGGGACGTGCTTAATTTGACTTTTATATGAGGTGACAATGAATTACTCACCAACACCTCATTCGACCCATTCATAATACAACTAATCACTTTAATGCTCTGCTTAGTTACAAGTCCACACTACTAGGTTTGGCGACAAGAAAGTGTACACTCAATTTTTACTTTGTTGAAAGAGATTCTCAGTTCAATCTCATCAACAACATCAATTTGGATATAAAAAAAAAAAGGTGAGAATGAGCCAACATATCTCGTAGACGAGAAATTTTTTCACAAAACGGGATTAACACCACTGTGACAATCTAGCCCCTGATTATATGCAAAAGTCCCTTCAAAATGTCATATATTAGTAGCCAGGAATGCCACAATAACTGTTACCCGCTTCCATCTATATTCGCAATTTCTTATCCTCGTTGATGTACAATAGAATACTTGTCATTTAGTACCACGGTCTAGTAACATTCTTCTCTACTTGTAAGTGCAAGGACTTAGGTTCGATTCTCGCCAAAGGCAAATTTGAACTATATTAATGTGGATAATATCGTTTATTCAAAAAATAAATAAAACAAATGGTAGAATACTTCACTTCTACGCCTAGGACAAATGTTCAGTTGGAACTTGGAAAAATAAAAATAATATACAATTATTCCATTGGAAATATTACCAACCTCATCAAGAATTTCATCAAATTCTCAATATTAAGCATCATAAGAGCATCTTCAAATGAGATATTAAAAATGCTAAGTAGACATTTAAGGCTAAAAAAAGCAACAAAACTTTCTCGAACTGATGCTTCATTTCTGACGTGGAATAGCGTCTAGGCTCTTGCTGCCTAATTTGACGTTGTTGTCAAATTGAGCTTAATTTTGGGTTTTTAATAAACGGGCTCTCATTTAATATTAAAACTTTGGGCTAACTGTAAAATATGATTGGCTATCTGTTTTTAATATTTATTAGTATTTTTTGTCAAATGATAGATTTTGTTAGATTAGCTATTGAAAAGGTTTGAACTCACGCTGTCATGTAAAAATACAAATATTTTCTCCACTGTAGTAAAATGTCACTTACTTAATATTTATTAGTTCAATAAATACAACTCAAAAGGAGATGAAAATCAAATTGTATTTAACATATCGGTTGAAACAAAAAATTGTACAAAACGTTAAATTACCAGATAAGTCATTAAATCCAAATTTTAAGTGTCCTTTAGTTTTGAAAATTAATGAACTAAACGTTAGAGAATATGGTAAGAAAGATCATCACCTCGTATAGTAATGATGAAGAGGTGAAGTGACGTACAAAGCAAAATATAAACAAACAATGTAGAGAGGACGCAAACTCGCATGGGGAGGGGAATCGGAATATTGTAAAGGCACTGTGCATATTCTTCGTCATGATTTTGTCCCCAATGCCAACTTGCCAACCATCATGTCTCATGTCACACAAATACAATCATCCATCCCCAGCTCCAGATTCAACACCCTTCTCACGAATCTTCATCGGAATTTGGTTTATTAATTTAAATTTCTTATTAACAAGGCTGCCAATTGCAACCCTACCCAGAATGTTCCTACCCTGGCTTGCTGGCTATATCACCCAACCTTTCTTGTTTTCTATTGTTCGGGCATGTTACTCCATAATTAATTTTCGCTTCTTTGGTTATTGCGATATCTACTAATAGTTGTTAGTCATAAATGTGCGTGTGAGTAATTAATATCAACGGCTAAACATTCGTTTATGTGCGTGTAAGTGATTAACATTAGAGAGTTGAATATATCCACCTATTTGCGTGGAGGTGACTTAACGTACGTGTCGTATACTATAACATG